GATGACGACGAAAGGTGGAGAGAAGAAGAAGATGGCTGCCGCGCGACGAAGAAGAAGATGACGGGGAGGAGGAGGTGGAGAGAAGAAGAAGAAGACGACGAAAGGAGGAGGATGAGGAGGAGAAGGAGAAGACGACGAGAAGGGAGGTGTAGGAGGTAGAGGAGGACGAGAAGGAGGAGGAGGAGGAGGAGGAGGAGGAGGAGGAGCAGGACGACGATGAGTAGGAGGAAAAGAAGAAGAAGAAGAAGAAGAAGAAGAAGAAGAAGAAATCAAGAAGAAGAAAATGAAAAAAAAAAACGAAAAAAAAAGGTCGCGCGTGCTGACGTGGCAGCCGCGCGACGATCGGACTTCAGGAGGAGGAGGACATGGAGGTGTAGGAGGTAGAGGAGGAGGAGGAGGAGGAGGAGGAGGAGGAGGAGGACGATGACGACGAGGAGGAGGAGTAGGAGGAAAAGAAGAAGAAGAAGAAGAAGAAGAAATCAAGAAGAAGAAGAAGATGAAAAAAAACCGAAAAAAAAAAGGTCGCGCGTGCTGACGTGGCAGCCGCGCGACGATCGGACTTTAGGAGGAGGACATGGAGGTGTAGGAGGTAGAGGAGGAGGAGGAGGTGGAGGAGTAGGAGGAGGAGGAGGACGACGACGACGAGGAGGAGTAGGAGGAAAAGAAGAAGAAGAAGAAGAAGAAGAAGAAGATCAACAAAAAAAAAATGGAAAAAAAAAACGTCACGCGTGCTGACGTGGCAGCCGCGCGACGACCATCAGAGTTCAGGAGGAGGAGGACATGGAGGAGGAGGAGGAGGAAGGGGAGGAGGAGGAGTTCGACCACGACGACGAGGAGGAGTAGGAGGAAAAGAAGAAGAAGAAGAAGAAGAAGAAGAGATCATGAAGAAGAAGAAGAAGAAGAAGAAGAAGAAGATGAATAAAAAAAATGAAAAAAAATGGTCGCGCGTGCTGACAAGGCAGCCGTGGGACGACGACAGTACTCGACAAGGAGGAGGAGGAGGAGGAGGAAAAGAAGACGAAGAAGAAGGAGAAGAATGTCGACCGTGCTGACGTGGCAGCTGCGGGACGACGGTCGGAGTTGATGAGGAGGAGGAGATGGAGGAGGTGGAGGAGGAGGAGGACGAGGGGCCGCGGGGACTCACCTGACAGCGATGGGCGCCGAACATGGCAGCAGCTGGAGCGCGGGGCGATGCGAGGGCAGTTTCGAATGATTCGAATTCGAAACTGACCCTTCCCCCCCTGCTCCTCTCCCTGGACCCGATTCCCGCGCCCGCGCCCCCCCCACACCGACGACCACCGGCCCTCAGGCCCTCCGAACCCCCGCCGGCTACCGGTACCGGCCCGGCCGGAACCCGTTCGCGGGCCTCGAGAACACGTTCTTGCGAACGTGTTCTCGACCCGTTCACGCGAACGGGAGAACGTGTTCGCCCGAACGGGAAGGTCGGCAAACACGTTTGCCGTGCTACGCAGCTTCAATCATACGTTTATTCAATTCTTCCTGAAGGTTTTACTCCTGAAGAAAACAAAGGGAAGTATAACATGCACCCATACATGCATCCTGATAGAGAGTTGTAGCCAGTAAGGGATACGGGAAAGGCATAGGTGACGCGTACGTCATGGTCTCCTGCCTCCAGAGTTCCTCCTGAACTCCGGCAGAGCTCCCGCAATCGCCCTGTTTATTTTGACCATCTGATCATCCGTCTTCCACAGAGTTGACCTTTACATTCGATGAGATTCATACTATTGCAGAGAGTGGTGAGAACCAAGGAAAAGAGGGGATTAGATTACGGGAGAAATGGAGACGGATGGAGAAGGTAGATGCCGTCACATGGTGACGATGTCCCTCTCCTTTCCAGTATTCCATCTCTCCTCCAAACCTGATCTTCCCCACTTCCTTTGTCGTCACTCATCAAAGAATTGCAG